CTTTCTCTTTCTCTCTTTCTCTTTTTCTTTCTTTCTTTTTCTTTTTTTTTATTTCTTCTCCTGGTCTTGGGACTTGAACTCAGGGTCTGGACACTGTCCTTGAGTTTCTTTGTGCTCAAGGCTAGCGCTCTACCACTTGAGCCACAGCGCACATTCTGAGTAGTTGAGTAGCTTATTGGAGGTAAGAGTCTCACAGACTTTTCTGTCTGAGCTGGCTTTGAATCACAATCTCAGCCTCCTGAGTAGCTAGGATTATAGATGTGAGCCACCGGTGCCCTTCAGTATTTTTCTTACAGGTCCCCAACCGTAGCCGAAGCTGAATTAAAATTAGAGTCATGACATTTGTGATGCAAATGTGCTCTCACATTTTTAATTAATTAAGTTTTTTGGGGGTGCTAGTACCGGGGCTTGAACTCCAGGTCTGGGCACTATTCCTTAGCTTTTTTTTTTTTTTTCCTTTCAAGGCTGCCACTTGAGCATTTTCTGGCTTTTTTGGTGGTTAATTGGAGATAAGAGTCTCACAAACTTTCCTTCCCAGGTTGGTTTTGAACCATGATCCTCATATCTCAGTCTCCTGAGTAGGTAAGATTTCACGTGTGAGCCGCCAGCACACACTGGGCCTTCTTGGTTTTACTTTTAGAATTTGTGTAGTTTGAATGGATCTGGGAGCTTGGTAATCTATAAACCAGATCATCATAGGTAGAGATCAGTGTGCCTGCTAGAGGCTGAGCTGGGGGGGGGGGGGGGGGGTTGGTCTGGATGTCCCTTAGCTGTCCAGCGCAGCCTCTGCTGCCCAGGCTCTGCAGCTAGGGCTGGAGGAACATTTTCCAGCAGAGCAGTTTGTGTGGAGGAGGCCAGTGTCAAGGCTTAACAAAGTAAAACTGTCTCAAATGGTCTTTCAGATAAAAAGCTAATTTCTAGCACTTTTCTTTGAGATAGAATGGCCTAGGGTAAGGCAGGTATTTGCAGTTCTATAGTTTCCTGTCTGCTCCAGCTGAGAGAAAATCTCAAATTTTCTGGGGGTGGGGTGGGGTGGCAAGGAGGAGGGGGGACGGCTCTGCTCCCTTCCCCTCCGTGAATAAGCAAAAATGAGAAGTTGGGATCAGCCAGCCCGCATGGCTTCTGGGAAATCCTCTTTGTAAGAATTCTTAGGTTCTTCTTGGGAGTTTTTCTTGTCAGAGTAGCCACTAAAAATTGATCTCAGAAGAGAGAGTAAAAAAAAAAATCACTTTACTGTTTAGTAGAGACCAAGTTAAAAAATAAGTAGAGAACTAAGTGTTAGTACTTTTACAAGCTCCATATTACAGAAAGTTGCCAGTGTATAGAAGCAGCACTTAGCACAGCGGAACCTGCCATGGGGGGTTCCACCCGGGTTGCCAAGACCCAGCTTAGCACTTCATCTGCACCTGACTACCATGCAGAAAAGTAACATATACTCTGTAGTGGAAGAAGCCATTATAAGACTCTAGTGAATAGCCACTTCATATTTTAGGGTTTTTTGTTGTTGTTGTTGTTGTTTGCCAGTCCTGGGGCTTGAACTCAGGGCCTGGGCACTGTCCCTGAGCTTGTTTTTCTCAAGGCTAGCACTCAACCATTTGAGCCACAGTGCCACTTCTGGCCTTTTCTGTGGATGGGGTACTGAGGAATTGAACCCAGGGCTTCATGCATGCTAGGCAAGCACTCTACCACTAAGCCACCTTCCTAGTCCTACTGTATTTCTTTACAAATGAGAAGGAAAAAAATAAAAGGTTTAAGAGCTTTTGCTCCCTTCTTTGCCCAGTACTTTAAATGTCGGCAGACCTGAGATGATGGAGCTGTATATAGCAAGCACTTTCATAGACAAAGACAAGTGGTGGCAGAATTTTACCAATAGCTATGTTATGGGCTGGCTATTCTCTCTAGAAGGGGCTGTGATAAATACTTGGGGTCTACAGAGATCCTCCTTTTAAGAAACATTGTTCTTGAGCCAAGCACTGGTGGCTCATGCCTGTAATCCTAGCCACTCAGGAGGCTGAGAGCCAAGGATGGTTCAAAGCCAGATTGGGCAGGAAAGTTTGTAGAGACTCTTAATCGCTAATTAACCACCAAAAAGCTGGAAGTAGAGCTGTGGCTCAAGAGATAGAGTGCCAGCCTTGAGTGGAAAAGCTAAGGGACAGCACCCAGGCCCCATAGTCCAAGCCCCAGGACCAATCAGCACAAACAAACAGCAGAAGAAAACAGCAAACATTGTTCTTTGAAGCACTCAGCAAACAACTAGTGTGTGTAGAGATTGCCTGGGTGGGAGCCAGTTAAAAATTCATTCAATGTGTGATTATAGGGCTTGTTTCAGCTAGCTCTGTGTTCCCAAAATAGCGGAATGGGCAGTTTTCAAGGTTCTTCATGACTGCTTTCTCTAGGAGAAAGGAAACTCACACCTTAAATAATTTCCATTAAAAACAACAAAATAGTTTCCATTATGCTCTAGGAGCTTCAACTATATAAATGCATTAGGCAAGAAATAACAATTAATTTAAATTAAATATAAGCAGAAAACCAGACAATCTTACCGACATAAAATAGAAGCAGGCTGATTTCTAGCCGGATTGGGAGTTGGATGGTGGGCCGGAGCCGGGGCCTGCCTGGTGTCCAAGGCTCCATTTCTGTGTGTGTGAATGTCAAGCTCTATTTGGAAAGAGAGGTGGCTTTTTTTTCCCTTTTTTTTTTTTGAAAGAAGCAAAGAGGAAGTCTTCTTAAGGAACTGTAATCAGGAAATCTTTGAAATTGTGTAAAAATGTCTGTAACTCAGTTTCGCCATTTAGTTGAGATTTCAGTCTGGAGGACTGTATGTGCCTGTTTGTACGCATGTATGTGCGTACAGTTCTGGGGCTTGAACTCAGGGTCTAGCTGTCCCTTAGCTTTTTCTCTCAAGGCTGGTATTCTGCCACTTGAGTCACAGCTTCACTTCTGGCTTTTTGCTAGATAATTGAAGTCTAGACTTTCCTTCCTAGGCTGGCTTTGAACTGTGATCCTCAGAGCCTCCCGAGTAGCTAGGATTATACGTGTGAGCTACCAGTGCCTGGCTAGAGCACTTTTCTAAATGTAATCTTTTTTTATTTTTAACCCCCAGGGGCTTTTTAAGTGCTCCTAGGTGTTGGATGTCAGGCGAGGTACAGGAAACATGGATTCCTAGGAGGGAGCATGATTTGACAGTGGTCAGTCTCGATTTTCCAGAACAGTCCAGTTGCTCTCCCTCCCAGGGCCTGGATGGTGGGGGGCGGGGCGCAGAGAATTAGGAAGTCCACTGTGATCAGTCAGGTTCTTTGTAAACAGCAGGGAGGGACTCAGAGAAAGGGGACTTCATGTTAAGGTTTTGGGAGAGGCCTGGGGCCCATCATCAAGAAGGCCCCGGGCGTGCCACGGTGAAACCCACCTGAAGCGAGACCCACCGCCACCAGGCGCCATGATCTGTCAGCCTCATGTGCTCCCGGCCGCCTCCTCCACAACACTGCTGTCAGCACCCACATCTGCACGCCTTCCACCCCTGTCTAGAGGGAACTGGACAGTGTGCACCAACGAGCTTCCTAATACACCAGATACCTGTGACAGTGTGTGCTTTTCACATCACCACAGAATCCCAAAGCACCCCAAAGTGAAACTCGCTGTGCGCACGTGTGTGCACATGCATAGGTCAGTGTGGGACTTGCATGTGAACATGAATATTGTGTCTGGTCCCCTCACTCCCCAAGCACCTGGGGCCTGCAGGACAGCTTTCAGTCCCTGTTCTGAGGCAGGGTAAGTGAGCTTCTGTTCTGCTGTCCTGTCTCTGCTGAAGGAGCTTATGTGTTATGAATTTGTTCGAAAAAATTTGAGAATTGATTCAACTTCTTTCTCTCTCCCCTCTCTTTCTTCCTTTTCTCCCCCCCCTCTCCCCCTCCCCCCTCTATCCCCCCTGCCCCTCTCTCTCTTTTGCTGGTCCTGGGGCTTGAGCTCAGAGCCTGGGTACTGTCCCTGAGCCTCTCTGTGCTCAAGGCTAGCGCTCTACCACTTGAGCCACAGCGCCACTTCCAGCTTTTCCTGAGTAGTTTGTTGGAGATAAGAGTCTCCTGGACTTCTTTGCCCAGGCTGGCATTGAACTGCAATCCTCAGATCTCAGCCTCCTGAGTAGCTAGGATTACAGGTGGGAGCCACTGGTGCCTGGCTTCAGCTTCTTTTAAAGAACACAGTGATGGGGCTGGGAATGTGGCTTAGTGGTAGAGTGATTGCCTTGCATACATGAAGTCCTGGGTTCGATTCCTCAGCACCACCTAAACAGAAAAATCTGGAAGTGACACTGTGGCTGAAGTGGTAGATTGCTACCTTGAGCACAGAGAGGCTCAGGGTCAGTGCCCAGGCCCTGAGTTCAAGCCCCAGGAAAAGAAAATACAATGCTGGTCCTTTTTTCTTTGTTGTTGTTGTTGCTGTTTTGTGCTGGTACTGGGGTTTGAACTCAGGCCTTGCACTCGCACTTGGCTTTTCTTTTTCCCTCAAAGCTGGCACTCTTCCACCTGACACCTTGACTTATGTGTGTGTGTTTTTTGTTTTTTTTTTGCCATGTGACTGGAGGTAAGAGTGTCACAGGCTTTCCTGTCTAGGCTGGCTCCAAGTTTCAATCCTCAGATCTCAGCTTCCTGAGTAACTAGAATTACAGGTGTCTGCCACCAGCATCTGGCTATCTTTATAATTTAAACCTCTTTGTCAACTTTTTATTTTCAGCCCTATGACTCTCTCTAGGTAGTAAGTTGTGTAATTTACTTACATTACACTTGTGACGTTTCCTTGTCTTTGTCCAAAATCCCCTTCAAATATTATGGGTTACTCTTTTTTTTTTGTCGGTTGTGGGGCCTAAACTCTGGGCCTGGGTGCTGTCCCTCAGCTCTTCAGCTCAAGGCTAGCACTCTACCACTTGAGCCACAGCGCCACTTCCAGCTTTTTTCTTTCTGCTTATGTGGTGCTGAGTAATTGAAACCAGGGCCTCATTCATGCAAGGCAAACGCTCTACCACTGAGCCACCTTCCCAGCCCCTCTGTTTTAATATTCATGTTATTCACTGACCAGTTGCTCAATCCATTAACCACTGTAAATCCCTCCTCATCATGAAGGACTCACTGTCTGCAAGTCTCAGAGAAGGCAGCTTGAGGGCTTTGTGTACAGACAGACTTGGGATTGCTTGTAAAACTTGACCTCCTGACCTTGACCTGGCCACTTGTGACCTTCAGCCTTTTTGAATCTAGCCACCCACTGTGTTGGGGTTTGGGGACTGTGGAGACACTCACCAGGGGGCCTTGGAAGATGGAAGGGCCTGGACTGTTCCCTCTTTAATTTGTTCGTTCAAGAATTTAACTGAATGTCCTTCTTTGTTTTAGTAGGTGGCAAGTGGGAGAAGCCATCAGAAATTTTGGAAATCAAGGGACAGAATTGGGAAGAACAAGTGAACAGCTTGCCAGAAGTGTTCAGAAAAGCTGGCTTTGTCATCGAAGCGTTCACCAGACTGCCCTACCTGTGCGAGGGCGACATGTACAATGACTACTACGTCCTGGACGACGCCGTCTTCGTCCTGAAGCCCGTGTGACCCCGCGGGCGCCCAGCTCTGCAGTGTGCACGCCCAGAACCTGCCCTCCGGAAGAGGGGCTGCGCGCAACCGGAAGCCCCGGAGGACCGTCGGTGCTGCCGTTCTCAATACCATGTAGGAATTTTAAAAGCCAAAATACTAATTATTTCTTTGTAGTGTGTAAAAGAAATGTTTTTTTTTTAAAACAAAAACAACAAAACTCAACTCTTTGTGGATTTTTATCAGCTCTCAACTAGGGCCACCATCCAATGCAGGCCACACTCCAATGATGATGGAAAATATTTTTTTATACGGAATTGCTGTAGGGACTCATTCCCAGCAGAAGCAATAGTCACTACTTCATGGAGCCAACAGATGGATCGTTTTTAATAAAAGGAAGACTGGCAATAAAGCTGTCCATTCAGTTCCAAATGCTGGTTATAAGGTATAGCCACTGAGAATAACTCATGTTTAGAAACTCTTTCTGTTATTATTCAAGAAAATGTTTTTAATCATGCTAATAAACTTTTTTGGAGACGATGTTGGCATCCTGTTTGAGTTGCTGTCTGATTTCCCTGGCATGTTGTGGCTTTGACTTTAGGATACCCAAATAATGCATTAGGGAAGGATGCTACTACTTGCCACGTGGCAGTACTGGGCTTGAGCCCAGGGCTTTTTTTATTTGGCTCTTTTTGCTCAAGGCTAGTGCTCTACCACTTGAGCCACAGCTCCACTTATTTTGGGTGGCTAACTGGAGATGAGTTTCATGGTCTTTTCTTTCTGATCCTCCTTCAGGAGAGCTTTAGACTGGGGGTGAGGTGCATGCATGAAGCTCACCAGGCAGTCTAGACACTTCCTGAAGGAGCACCTCCTCCCCACGCTGTACACCAGAGGCCACCCTCATTCATCAGGCACACTGCTTCTAGAAATGCAGGACACTTGGACCTTCCTCCCTTCCCCTCCCCTCCCCTTCCCTCCCCTCCCCTCCTCTCCCCTCTCCTCTCCTCCCCTTCCCAACTGTGGCTAGAACTCAGAGCTTAGGTTCTGTCTCTTAGGTTTTTTGCTCAAGGCTGGCACACCACCACTTGAGTCACACCTCACTTTGGGCTTTTTGGTGGATAATTGAGATAAGACTCTCAGAGCCTTTCCTGTCTGGGCTGGCTTCAAACTTTGATCCTCAAATCTTGCCTCCTGAGTAGCTAGTATTATATGTGTGAGCCATCAGTGCCCAGTTTAAGATTTGTGTCTTCAACTGGGAAAGAGTGAAGGAAGGGGAGACATTGTCCAAAATGAAATGACTCATTACCTGACTTAGGAAATGGTGAGCCCTCTGTACATCACCTTTATAATAGTAAATAATAATTTACAGCTTTGCTTCTTTATAATTGTCGTAGTCATGGGTTGCCTTCTGGTAGGTGTTCAAAGAAGGCAGGTTGCCCCAACATTGCTTTAAACTTTAAGAGAATTAATTAAACAAATTAATTTGAGAATTAATTTGATGATCTAATAAAAAAAGCTCATTCTTTACCTTAAGAAAAACAGAGAAGGCACATACTTTAAAGCAAAAAGTTTCTCAAAGATCTAAGGTTCTCTGAAGACCAGTTTATTAAAAGTGCCATCTATGGCAAAGGAAATCTAGCCAATATGCTCACATTTCCTTGGCAATCTCGGTGATTCCACTAGATGGCAGTGTTGCTTACTGAGTGTCAATGGCTTCCTTTTCTCCTAAATCTTGAGGGTTTTTGTGTTCTTCGCCTCCCCCCTAAGTACAATAAAGCTTGCCTTCGTATTTGCATCATTCCTGGCCTAAGTGCTTCATATCAAGTGAAGCTTGAGCTAGAGAAATTAAGAAGATCTCTATGTGTGGTCAGATCAAGCTCACCTTTGGAGACCTTCAAGGTCAATGGAGAAAGCAAACCCAGGCTGCACCTGGCGTTCCTGGCTGCTTGCATTGTATTGGAAATCCCTGGAGTGCAGAGACCGCAGGCTTTAGGAAGGGGTGTGGGAGGGGACATAAGGCCCATAGTCCTTTCTTCTGCAGCAGGCATGTGAACCCAGGACTGCGTTTTCTTCCATCCTGTTTGAACCATTCTTAGTTCTTACATAGCTGCCTTGTAACAGGAAACTAGCTGGCTTCAGTCTTTTTGAAGAAGGCTTGGCTTTCATCTCGTTCTGAATAGAACACAAATAGCTTTGGAAAGTGAGCAGGTCACTAATAGAGGCATCCATTTTTTGTTGTTGTTTCTTTTTAACTCCAACAACAGTAGTGTGTCCATCTTGGGCTCCAGTGGTTAAAGCAACCTGGCCATGTTTGTGTAGTTGCCCACCTACAAAGTTTCATGCATCTGTATAGAGCTGGAAAACTGCATGGGGTTGGGGTGGTCTCCGGGAGTTCCCAGCACAAAATGGGGCTCCTCATTAGCTTCACATAACCAGAATGGTCACAAACACAGTTTATCAAAGGTACAAAAGAAAGTTCTGTGTTGATGGCTCATGCCTGTAATCCTAGGTACTCAGGAGGCTGAGTTCTAAGGATCATGGTTTGAAGCCTGTCTGGGTAGGAAAATTCTGTGAGACTTTTTTTTTTGTCAGTTGTTCCGCCTGAACTCTGGGCCTGGGCGCTGTCCCTCAGCTCTTCAGCTCAAGGCTAGCACTCTACCACTTGAGCCACAGCGCCACTTCTGGCTTTTTCTGCTT